ACCTAGACCCAAGAAAATTTCTACAAGTAGGACAGGAACATAGATAGATAGATAGATAGATAGATAGATAGATAGATAGATATAGATGAGATAGAGAGCTAGAGAGAGAGAGAGAGCATATATGTACAAATATATATAACATATAAATATATATATATAGTGTATGTGCACATATATATATATATATATATATGTATATAATTTTTTTTTTTTGAGACAAGGTCTGGCTCTACCAGGCTGGAGTGCAGTGGCATGATCTCAGCTCACTGCAACCTCTGCATACCGGGCTCAAGCCATCCTCCCAACTCAGACTCTTAAGTAGCTGGGACTACAGGCATACACCACCATGCCTGGCTAATTTTTACATTTTTTGTAGAGACAGGGTTTCACCATCTTGCCCAGGCTGGTCTCAAACTCCTGAGCTCAAGCAATCTGCCCGCCTCAGCCTCCCAAAGTACTGGGATTACAGGCATGAGCCACCACACCCACCCAGGAACATATATTTTTCAAAGCTTCAAGAGGCTTTGAATCAGTCTATGAATAGACCTCATATTTGATAGCCAGTGACCTACAGTACCTAATGATGAGGTGAGTGCACAATAAGTCATTATTGAACTGATGTTGACTGAACAACAGAAGATCAGGACCTAAAACTAGCTTGAAGCCTACTGGAAAGGCACAGAGGCCTTTCTTAAAGGCCTAAAAGGCCAGGCTGAACTACGACAAAAGGCCAAACTAAAAAACCAACTTCTAGATTCAAAGCAATCAATAAGCCCTTGTCAGGAGCTTTATCTCAAAAGCACTTTCATGTCCTTTTGGTAGATTGCAGACATTAATATGGATTTTTTTTAAAGTAGAAATAGCTAAAAATAAACTAAAGCGGGCCAGGCGCGGTGGCTCAAGCCTGTAATCCCAGCACTTTGGGAGGCCGAGGCGGGTGGATCACGAGGTCAAGAGATCGAGACCATCCTGGTCAACATGGTGAAACCCCGTCTCTACTAAAAATACAAAAACATTAGCTGGGCATGGTGGTACGTGCCTGTAATCCCAGCTACTCAGGAGGTTGAGGCAGGAGAATTGCCTGAACCCAGGAGGCGGAGGTTGCGGTGAGCCGAGATCGCGCCATTGCACTCCAGCCTGGGTAACAAGAGTGAAACTCCATCTCAAAAAAAATAAAAAAAATAAAAATAATAAACTAAAGCCAATTTTTACTTTTTTTTTTTTTGGTACAGTTCCGGGTCTTGCTTTGTTCCCCAGGCTAGTCTTGAACTCCTGGCTTCAAGCTATCCTCCTGCCTTAGCCTCCCAAAGTGCTGGAATTATAGGCATAGGCCACCATGTCCAATCTTTATTCATTTAAAACAAGTGATCAGGCCGGGTGTGACAGCTCATGACTGTAATCCCAGTACTTTGGAAGGTGGATCACTTGAGGTCAGTAGTTCGAGGTCAGCCTGGCCAACATGGTGAAACCCCGTCTCTACCAAAAATACAAAAATTAGCCAGGCATGGTGGCGGGCCCCTGTAATCCCAGCTACTTGGGAGGCTGAAGCAGGAAAATCACTTAAACCTGGGAGGCGGAGGTTGCAGTGAGCTGAGATCTCACCACTGTACTCCAGCCTGGGCAACAGAGCTGGACGCTGTCAAAAAAAAAAAAAAAAAAAAAAAAACAACTGTTCAGTAGTGTTGGGCAGTATATGTAAAAGCACTTTGAAAACTAGAATAAAATATGACATTATTACCTGAACACTAATGTGATGTTTGTTATATGACCACTGCAAAGTAATCAAAAACAGTTCAGGTTTAATGTAATTTTCCTGATTAGAAATCTAAAAGGAATTCATGTTTTTAAACTGACAATGAACAAAAGAACACTCAATTCAAATGTTGAAACCTATCATTTTCTTCTATTATGGATACTGTTATGGCAGCTAGAACCTTTCATCCAGTTCTAAACAAAATCAGAAACCAGTATCATAAAGCTTTAATTTAATTTTATTTTATTTTATTTTATTTATTTTTTTTTTTTTTTGAGACAGAGTTTCGCTGTTGTTGCCCAGACTGGAGTGCAATGGCACGATCTCGGCTCACCGCAACCTCCGCCTCCTGGGTTCAAGCAATTCTCCTGCCTCAGCCTCCCGAGTAGCTGGGACTACAGGCACGCACCATCATGCCCACCTAATTTTTGTATTTTTAGTAGAGACGGGGTTTCACCTTGTTGACCAGGATGGTCTCGATCTCTTGACCTCGTGATCCACCCGCCTCGGCCTCCCAAAGTGCTGGGATTATAGGCGTGAGCCACCGCGCCCGGCCTAAAGCTTTAATTTTAAAGCTAATTCCCTAATACTGAGTTCCCCAATCAAAGTAACATTGTCTTACAATTAAATTAATCCCATTTACAGAAGAGAGCCATACACCCTCACTACCAGTCTTAACATATTTTGGAACTTACTTGACCATTTTCTGAATCTCTTAGAATCCTGTTGCAGTTTGTTATCCAAGTAACTAGGGAGAAAATGTTTAAGCTACTCATAACTGTCATTGTGATATCTAGTCAAGGAGTCTGAATTCTTTCTTGGTGCACACTACAGCTAGTGGCCATGTGCCAGATTTACTGAAAATATATCCAAATCCTCAATATGTAGCAAGGAAACATTTACTTTTCAATAATTCCTCATTCCTATTCAGACTACAACTCAAGTCATCAAGATATACAACTCAAGTATAAGTTTTTCCCACAAAATGCTATACCATCACGAGACATGATACCCCAAAGATTAATGATAAAAGGAAAAATTTACCAACAGTGTAGACTCAAATGGTAGAAAGGATTATCAAAGGATACTGCAGGAAATGTGAGTCTCTCTTTGAATATTTAAAAATTGAGTAAATTCTATCTTCCTGGAGTGTTTTAGGTTACCTTTTCAGTACCCAGGGAAGACAAACAGGTGATCTGTCAAGATTGGCAAAATTTTTAACATTTGAGAAAAAAAATCCAATATTGACAAGACTGAAGGAAAAGAGGCATTCTCATACTCTGCTGTTGGAAATATACATTGGTTCAATCTTTTATGGCAATCTCCACTAATTTTTAAATATATACTACCCTGTGACACAGTGAATCCACTGTTTGAAATTTATCCTATGGATATACTTGCAAAAGTATGGAAAGACACAGGTAGCCGGGACCACAGACGTGTGCCACTACGCCTGACTAATTTTTGTATTTTTTGTAGAGATGGGGTTTCACCATGTTGCCCAGGCTGGTCTCAAACTCCTGGGCTCAAGCATTCCACCCACCTCTGCCTCCCAAAGTAATGGGAGTACAGGCATGCGCCACCATGCCCGGCACCTCTTAAAAATCTTTCTGTATTATCACTTATAGTCTTTATTCTTTTTAATGTCTACATACTATTTTCATTATAAGAAACCTGGTAATTCAATTATTGATAGACATATAGTTGTGTTAAGTTTGTTATTGCAAACAATGCTGCAGTAAGCATCCCTGCAGTCTTGATCTCCTGGGCTCAAGCAATCTTCCGACCTCAGCCTCCTGGGTAGCTGGCACTACAGGTGCATGCTACTGTTCCCAGTTAATTTTTTAATATTTTGTAGAGATGAAGTCTTGTTTTGCTGCCAAAGCTGGTTTCAAACTCCTGGCTTCAAGCAATCCTTCCACTTCAGCATCCCAAAGTGCTGGGATTACAGGCGTCAGCAACAGCGCCTAGCCTTATTTGACAGTTACTCATAAAGTTAAATATGTATCTGTCCTACGACCCAGCAATTCCACTCCAAGTTATCACCCCAAGAGAAATAAAAATATATGTCTGAAAACAGACTTGTATATAAACATTCATAGCAATCTTATTCATGCATCCCTAAACAGGAAACAATTCAAATATCCATCCACAGGACAATGGATATGCAAACTGATATATTTCAACAATAGAATACTACTTGGCAATAAAAAAGAACTAACTACTGATAAAAAGAAAAACTTGGATTAATTTTATAATCTGCTGAATGAAAGAAGCCAAGCACAAAAGAATACATACATGCACTGTATGATTCCAGTTATATGAAGTTCTAGGATCAGCAAAGCTAATCTGCCATGAGAGAAGTTAAACATCTCAGCCTGGTGGTGGTGGAAAGTGAGAGAGAAGTGTTTCAGGGAGGCCACAGGATTGACTGGAAATAGGCGGGCTAGAAATTTTGGGGTAATGAAAATGGTCTCGATCTTGTTTTGGCTGGTTGCTATCTGGATGTATATAATTGTCAAAAACAATTATCGATTTAAAGTATACAATTCAGTGATTTTTTTAGTGTATTCACAGAGTTGTGCGACTATCACAACAATCAATTTTAGAACATTTTCATCATCTCAAAAAGAAACTCCACACATACCCTTTAGATATCTCTCTCCTATGTTCCCTAGTCCTAAGCAACCACTAACCTATTTTCTGTCCTATGGATTTGCCTATTCTGGACATATCATAAAAATGGAATTTAAAAATGTTTTCAGAGTTCTATATTGTAGCATATGTCAGTACCTCCTTCCTTTCATGGCCAAAAGATATTCCATACTATAAATATACCACATTTTGGTCACAGTGGCTCACACCTGGGAGGCTGAGGTGGGCGGATCACTTGAGATCAGGAGTTTGAGACCAGTGCAGCCAACATAATGAAACCCCATCTCTACTAAAAATACAAAAATTAGCTGGATGTGGTGACAGGCACTGGAGTCTCAGTTATTCAGGAGGCTGGAGCAGGAGAATCGTTAGAACAAGGAAGGTGGAGGTTGCAGTGAGCCAAGATCGCACCACCGCCCTCCAGCCCTGGGGACAGAGTCAGACTATGTCAAAAAAAAATCTAAAAGAATAAAAATAAATATACCACATTTTGTTCATCAGTTGATAGACATCTGGGTTGTTTCTGGCTTTTGACTATTATGAATAATGCTGCTATAAACATCAGTGTGCACGTTTTGGCAAGAACTATGGATTTTTTTTTTTCCCAATTCCCATTTATTTTTGGTTCTTGGTGCAATGTCACTTTTTCAATATGAAAAAAGCAGCAAGTTCAACACAAAATAGAAATCTGAAGTGGAGGATAGAACAAAACTAAGCGTAAGGGGGGGAAAAAGCAACAGCAAAAGGAAGATATGAGATGTTGCAAAAAAGACGGAGGAGGGTTGCCCTCTCCGCTGGATAATGACTCAAACACTGATGTGGGAGTATACACCATTCACATAGAGTCAAGGATGTTAATTTTTTCTGGGGGTTAAGAAAAGGTGGGGATTGGGGACATTTCTGGAGGCCTAGGGACCAAGTCTAGTTCTCTTTCCCCACTTGATCCCCTTCTCTGATCAGGAGAAAGGGAGGAATTCAATGTGTGAGGGAGGTAGAGTCAGAGAGGGAAAGATTCTATTTGACAGAGTGAGGCAGACCTCTCCAAAGGGTAGAGCTTGGAGAAAGATTGGAAATGGAGAAAATACTGCTAACACCTCCCTTGAAGCTGAGAAATGGAAAATGAAAATACCTGGAAATTATGACTTGAATAGCCTGGATTTCCCTCTCAAAACTTTTAGGATGGAAAATCCCATCCCCTTCCTTGCGGTGACTTCTACCTGCCATCTTCTACCATCCTCAGCTTTGGGCTTAGGCTGGTGGCCATTATCTACATGGGCTTTCAAAACCCAGTTGGTTCTCAATGAGATCTGGATGAGACCCAGCTTCTTGCAGATTTTGAAAAAGGGAAATATTAACTGGACAGATGAAAGGGATGGGCACTGGAAGGAAATACAGGGTCACCCAGAATGGCAGTAACCTAGGCTTCCCAGGGTGGAAAGAGAAAGGAAACATTCCACAAACAAGTATTTATTGAGTACCTACTGTGTGCCAGGCACTGTTCTACATCCCCCAAAAGAAAAGAAAAAAATGGAAAACAAGATTGAGGCCGCAAACACAAATTCTGAGGGAGAGGAAAGGGGCAGGTAAGGAAGATGGCTAAGGGAACTCAGAAGCCTGAAGTGATGGGGGCTCTGTCTTAGGCCTCCTCTTCAGCCTCCTCACAGAAATCCTCCTCCTCTTCTGTGGTGGCATCCTGGTACTGCTAATACTCAGAAACGAGGTCGTTCATGTTGCTCTCAGCCTCAGTGAACTCCCATCTCATCCATGCCCTTGCCTGTGTACCAGTGGAGGAAGGTCTTCCAGCAGATCATGGCAGTGAACTGCTCCAGGTTCGCCTGAAGAGCTTCTGGATGGCCGTGCTGTTGCCGAGGAAGGTGACTGCCATCTTGAGGTCATGGGGTGAGATGTCACAGACAGCTGTCTTAATGTTGTTGGGGATCCTTTCCACAATTAGCTGCTGTTCTAGTTCTGCACGTTGAGCATCTGCTCATCAACCTCTTTCATAGACATCCATCCATGAAGACAGCGCCACAATGAGATATAAGCCGTGGCACGGGTCACAGGCAGCCATCATGTTCTTGGCATTGAAGACCTGCTGGGTGAGTTCGGACACTATGAGAGCTTGATACTGCTGATTTCCACGGCTGGTGAGAGGGGAAAGCCAGGCATGAAATAGTGGAGACATGGGAAGGGCACCAGGTTGACTGCCAACTTGCAGAGCTCAGCACTGAGCTGGCCAGGTAAGCGGAGGCAGGTAGTAACACCATTTATGGTGGCTGAGACAAGGTGGTTCAGGTCCCCATAGGTTGGCATGGTCAGCTTCAAAGTGTGGAAACAGATGTCATAGACGGCCTTGTTATCAATGCAGTAGGCTCATCAGTGTTCTCTACCAACTGATGGACGGAGAGGGTAGTATTGTAGGGCTCGACCACAGTGTCAGACACTTTGGGTGAAGGCACCACACTGAAGGTGTTCATAATGCAATCAGGGTGCTCTTCTCGGATCTTGCTGATAAGGAGAGTGCCCATTCCAGAGCCTGTGCCCCTGCCCAGTGAGTGGGTCAGCTGGAAGCCCTGCAGGCAGTCACAGCTCTCAGTCTCCTTCTGCACCACATCTAGGACTGAATCAACCAGCTTGGCCCCCTCTATGTAGTGTCCTTTGGCCCAGTTGTTGCCTGTCCCAGACTAACCAAAAACAAAGATGTCTGATCTAAACATCTGGCCAAAAGGGCCTGAGCTAGCAGAGTCCCTGGTCCCAGGTTCTACATCCACCAGGATAGCATGAGGAACATATCTGGCATCTGTGGCTTCATTGTAGTACTTGGAGATGCAGTCCAGCTACAGGTGCTGTCCTCATGTTAGGTGCCGGTGGGCTCAATGCCACGATCATCACTGATCACATCCCAGAACTTGGCACTAATCTGATTGCCACACTGACCAGCCTGGATGTGCAGATTTCCCTCATGGTTAAAATTTATTTTAATTTTTTTGCTTGCCTCAAGGTTTGTACAGGACAATAAAATATGCAATTTTTTTTCTCTGCTGGTTACAGGCTGAAAGGATGGAATGTGCCCCAGAGGCTAGAGCAGCAAGGTGCAAACGCGGCAGAAGGAAGGTTCTGAGAGACAGAAATGTGCATTTTCTTATATAAAAATTAGATCGGCTCTTCCCTTTTGCGGCCATCGCCCAAGCAGGAGCTGCCAAAATGAAGTTCAATCCCTTTGTGACTTCTGACCGAAGCAAGAATCGCAAAAGGCATTTCAATGCACCTTCCCACATTCGCAGGAAGATTATGTCCTCCCCTCTTTCCAAAGAGCTGAGACAGAAATACAACGTGCGATCCATGCCCATCTGAAAGGATGATGAAGTTCAGGTTGTACGAGGACACTATAAAGGTCAGCAGATTGGCAAAGTAGTCCAGGTGTACAGGAAGAAATACGTAATCTACATTGAACGGGTGCAGCGGGAAAAGGCTAATGGCACAACTGTCCATGTAGGCATTCACCCCAGCAAGGTGGTTATCACTAGGCTAAAACTGGACAAAGACTGCAAAAAGATCCTTGAACGGAAAGCCAAATCTCGCCAAGTAGGAAAGGAAAAGGGCAAATACAAGGAAGAAACAATTGAGAAGATGCAGGAATAAAGTAACCTTATATACAAGCTTTGATTAAAACTTGAAATGAAGGAAAAAAAAAAAAATTAGATCAAGGCTAGGCATGGTGGCTTACGGCTGTAATTCCAGCACTTTGGGAGGCTGAGGTGGGTGGATCACAAGGTCAGGAGTTTGAGACCAGCATGGCCAACGTTGTGAATCCTCGTCTCTATTAAAAATACAAAAGTCTGCCGGGCCATGGTGGCGTGCACCTATAATCCTAGCTACTCGACAGGCTGAGGCAGGAGAATCACTTGAATCTGGAAGCAGAGACTGCAGTGAGCTAGGATCACACCACTGCACTCCAGCCTGGGCGACAGAGTGAGACTCTGTCTTAAAAAAAAAAAATCAATCTAAATTTTAATAATATAGATATGAAATATTATATTGTTACTATAAAGCATGATTTCTGAGTGTTTCAGTTGATGGCTGAACAAAAATATCTAATAATGGCAAGCAAGCAAATTATAATAAAAATATGCTATTTCAGAGAAGAAAAAAGTGGTATGTCAACAAGAACAGCTAAAATGAAATGTCATATTCATCTCCTAATGAAACAGAGGTTTCCTATATGAGTAAGGAAGCTGTCTGATAGGTGGATTTGAGTGACTTCTTCACACACAAACTACAGTATAACTCTTAAAGGCTTCAGTGACCACATCACAAAAATATTATTATCATCCAGACATCTCCATGTCCCATTAGCAACAAAATCAACACTGAAGTATGACCTAATTCTTTTGAGGGATAAAAAAAAAAAACAGTTTAGTCTATTTATCAAAGGTAGAAAATAGTTTAAAAATAAAGTCTGTGTAGCATTGGGCACAATATTTACATGGAGATATGGTGCCTTGAGGGTGTCATACTAGAAAGCAAATTTTCTTTACAAATTAAAGAACATTCTTCCCTAAAAATGATTAAAAATTATTTTTCATACTGTGATAAAAACAAGAGGTTTAATACTGGCAAACAAACAAACAAGAACCAGTTAAGAGATCCATCATGGCTTCCTTTTGTAGAAATGTTGGGAAGAGAATTCTGGAAGTTATTGCGTTCCTACTCTTTTTGGGGGACTCTACTGTATACTTTACATACATGTATTTCCTCATTTAATCCACAGAACAGCCTTATAAGGCAGGTAATATATTCCTATTTTACAGATAAGAAACTAGATTAACTGGCTAATCTACATACTAAAGAGAATGAAGAGGTTGGTTCAAACCCAAGTTTCATTCACACAGAACATGTACCTATAATTCAGGTACACCCCTTACATACATACCACTTTCCATTCATAGCCACTATTCCTAAAAATGTATCTACACTATTGCCACTTTCTCACTTACACCTCTTTCTGAATCCCATTACTTTTATGCAAAACACTTCTTCAAAATTGCTCCAGGACTGCCAATGACTTTGTAACAGCCAAATCCAAAGGACACTTTTTGTTCTTTATCTATGTAACTTTTGTGGCCTGAATTTAGTTTTAATTGATTCAAATTCTCATCAATTAATCAAGATTATTTAAGTGTGCTCTACTTAATGGAAAATCAAAAACATTGCAGCTAAGCAATCATTTAAAGCACCAGCTACCAAGTTCAGAGAATATAATACTTCATTCAAATGAAAGGCTAAATCATTCACACTTAAGGAAAAAATGTTTTAAAAAATGTATGGGCCATGGTGGCTCACACCTGCAATCCAAGCACTTGGGAGGCCAAGGCGGGCGAATCACCTGAGGTCGGGAGTTCAAGACCAGCCTGATCAACATGGTGAAACCCCGTCTTTTTATATATATATATATATATATATATATATATATATTAAAAAAAAGAAAATAAAAAAAAATTTATGAAATCTGTATGTAGTATTACCTGTAGCTCCCAGTGGGTGTCCCTTTGAAATCAATCCACCACTAGGATTTATGACCCACTTTCCTCCATACGTATTATCTCCTCTATCAACCAGTGTTCCACCTTGTCCTGTAGAAGAAAAAATAATATTCACAAATATTAAAAGTAACAATAGAACAAACGATATGCTTTTCTAAGATTTCCATATAGCCAAGAATTTCTTGGAGCAAATATTTCTTAACAGCTCAAACTAACAATTTGAGATAAGCACTTTTAAAAGTAATAAATACTTATATTTTCAGAGTAATAAATACTTATATTTTGTTTCCTGCATGAAACAAAGCTCCTATTAGTTCCTTAGAGTTCTATGGCTTCCAAAATTGCTTCAAATACAGTAGAGATTCAGAGAACTAGGAGAATAGAATTTGTAGGGGGGAAACCCCACAAGTGCCGTGGCAAGGGTCTGAAGCCTTAGCCTGTTCCCATATAAATACTGATTTAGAAAAGAATTAGAAATGTAGGCACATAGTTATTCCTTTATATAATCATTTATAATCTTATAGTTACATATAATCATAAAGATATATACTCAATATGACCTTTAATTTTACTAATGACCATCGGGTTATGAAGCGTGAAACTGAGGTGACATTGTGAACAAAGTGATTCTAAGGCAAGATGCTCTAAGCCCTCTGTCACACCCACGTAAGGGCTGCTGGAGGGCGCCTCAGCTGTGCAGCAGCACCAGTGCTATGAAAGCACCCATTGTTTAGCCAGCTAGGGAAGGAGGTGTCCAAAATGACCAAGACATCTCCTTCCTGGGGAAGTTAGGAGAAAACTCCGCTTCTCCAAGCTCTTGTGGCAAGGCCTGACGGCTGTCAGGGAAACCCACAAACATCCAGGGGCTTAAGTATCTCTATGTGATCCTGTGCCTCAGTGGTCACGTTCCATGTCTACTCTCACGCCCTGCTTCTGCACCTGGTTTCTCTTTGTCTCAGAAGAATTAATGTCCTTGACATTTCTAACAAAATTGCGAAGAACACTGACACATTAGCTTTTCTCCTCACCTCAGCTACTTGAAAGTCCTGGCCCCCTATCCTCAAGACACATGATTTACCTGACCCTATCACTGATCACCATTACCTCACCCTACCTTCCCTGCCCACTGCTTTGTACTCAATAAAAGTCAGAGTGTCCAGGCACTCAGTGCCATCGCAGGTCTCTGCAATTTGGTTGGCAGTGGACCCCCGAGCCCAAACTCTCTTTTCTCTGTCTCTGTGTCTGTGTCTTTTATTTCTACAGTTTCTTGTTTCTACATCAACAGGGAGAGGCTCACAGAACCCTACAGGGCTGGACCCTGTAAGAACTGAAATGGATAAAATGCTATAACTAAAATAACTATGTCAGCTTTAAAAATTCATAATTTTGCCAAAATGTGTTCATTTCTATTTTCAACTGTACTGCCTATATACTGTGTAAGTATTTTTAATAAATGTGGAAAAGCAGGAGAAAAAAAGACAGTTTCAAAAAATGAAGAGAAATGTCTGAAAACACTGTTAAGCCACAAAAGTAAGATTAAAAAAAATATTTCGCATGCTCAGTGGCTTCAATGTTCCTGTCAATTTCCTGGTCACTGGTCATTTTTCCAGGTGGTTAAGAAGTAAATGGAAATGTATGTATGGTATAAAATTGTCCTCCACATCGTATTTCTGATAAGATAATAAGATGTGGAAACTCCAAATAATGATAGCAATGATGGGGGTGATGCTGTCAAAGGTAGCTAACAGCTTTTGAGCACTCACTCTGGCTCAGGTCTTGTTCTTATTATTTTCTATATATATAGTCAGCATCCATGGGTTCCACATCATGGATTTAACCATCCACAGGTCAAAAATATTCAGAAGAGGCCGGCGCAGTGGCTCATGCCTGTAATCCCAGCACTTTGGGAGGCCAAAGCAGGTGAATCACCTGAAGTCAGGAGTTCGAGATCAGCCTGGCCAAACCCGTCTCTACTAAAAATACAAAAATGAGCCAGGTGTGGTGGCGGGCCCCTGTAATCCCAGCTACTCGGGAGGCTGAGGCAGGAGAATTGTTTGAACCTGGGAGGCAGAGGTTGTAGTGAGCTGAGGTCACGCCACTGCACTGCAGCCTGGGCGACAAGAACGATATATATATATATATTCAGAAGAAAAAAAATTCCAAAAAGCAAAACTTGAATTTATATGTGCTGAGTACTACTTTGAATCCATGGGAATGAAGTGATGTATAGTTATTATAAGTAATCTAGAGATGATTTAAAGTATATGGGAGGATGTGCATAGGTTATATGCAAAAATTATGCCATTTTATATAAGCGACTTCCATGGATTTTGGTATTGTGGGAGGTCTTAGAAACAATCCCCCACAGATACTGAGAGATGACTGTATTTATATAATTTAATATTCAGTCCTATGAGGTAGGTGCTATCATTCTCACTTCCTAGATGAGAAAACAGACATGTTAAGTAACAGCCAAGGCAACAGCAAGAGATCTAGGATTAATACTCAGGCAGCCTGGCTCCACAGCCTGTGTTCTGCTCGTAACCAATATGCCTTCAAAAACAAAAGTTCCTCTATTGGTTAAATGAAATATACTAATCAAAGGATTTCAGATGACTAACACTTCTAATTTGCCTTTA